AGATGTGACTAAAGTAATAGTGTTTAACTGATGCATTTCAAAAAATTTATGGCAATTTCATTTAAAAAGAAAACAAAGACTACTGTTGCATTTTTCAAATTATAAGTGAACTAACAGAACCAGTGGAAAATATTTGAATGCCAAAGAAATTGCCCCATTAAACCTATCTTTTGGGTTTCTTTGCTGATGTATCACTCAGCATTTGTTTTTTGGGCTTTTTTTTTTCTTCATTTTATAACTTAGATAAACATGTCCTTTCAAAACCAAGTATAGTTATCAGTTTCTTATTTCATATAAGAAAATAAATAGGTGGTTGCAAGTACGCAGGACAAGCTTTTGTTCCTTACAGTGTTCTGCCTACAAAGGGTCTGAGTAAACAGTTTTCTTATATATTCTAAAAAAAAAATAAAAAACAAACAAAAAAAGATAAACACACACAGAGACACTACTCCTGAAATTTATAGTACTAATTATTTTTGTCTTCTAAAATTAAAGTTCATGATAAGAGATAGGATATATTAACCAAGAGCACATAAAATAAAAGTCCCAAGATAGATGATGCTATTGCAGTAGGCCAGTTAAGAGCCCTCTAGAGCAAAAACCAGGAACAATTAAGGAAATTACTTTGACTTGGATGAGGGTGAGGGTGAGGGATGAGACAACACAAAGAGTATAGATGCTGAAATGAAAAAAGGTCTAATAAACAGTTCTCACTATCATCATCTCAGTTACTCTTTCTTCCCTTTCCATCTTCAGAAGTCCTCTGTTGGTTATTTCTTCCTTAAAATGTCTGTCATCAATGCTTCTCAAAGCAGCAGACATAAAGGTGACATGAAAAGACCTTCCTTCCCAAAAAGCACAAGGCTTCAAAGTTTTGAAAATAAGGTTCTTCCTACAGCAGTAGAACTTAAAGAAAGGCAGACTCTCAATTAACTGTAGCAGAGCTTCCTGCTCACAGAGTCTCCTCCATATTGCATAGAACTCCTCGATGCCACATTTTATGCTATTTGTGCATGAACTCATCCTGGTATTCAAAGAGCTATTCGTAGTTTCCATGAAATAACTTACAAAACCTGTGGTCTCTCTGATTGTTATGATGCTGAAAGATAGACCATCATTTTTCCCAGGTTACATAAAGGTAATGGCATTTTTCTGCAGCAAGAAAGCATACTGACAGTAGCAATCAATGTTTTATAATTTGCATGAGAACGCCATTAAGATTCTAAGGCAGCATCCTAAGAGGTCCCTTTTGTTTGCAGTTGGCAGAATATCAGCTGTTTCAATATAAGCAATGAGTTCAATATAAGCAATAATTGCTCAACTAATTATCTCCATCCTGCCTCTACTCAACTCTTCTTAAGCCCAGGTGCCTACTTCTTGTTACACTCATGGGGAGAAGAGAAGCAGATGTATGTGAGCAGATGCACAGGACCTTGTGCAGCCACTAGTCCTGAGAGCAATCGGTCAACACCCTTGAAGTCAGTTAAACTCTTAGTAAATGGTTGCCAAACTCCAGCAGATGGCATATTGCTCCCAGCTGTGCTGTTCAACATCTATATGATTCCATATAAGAAACTAAAAACTGGAGAATTGGGGGATTGCATCTCTCTAGTATATTCTATTTAACATTTTATGATTTTACTCCAAAACTACTCTTTTCTTCATAATGGAAAGTTTGGCCTGGTTCTATTTTCTCCACTGGTAGAATGCCACAGAAGGAAAAGAGTCATGTGGTTAACACTCACCAAGGGCTTCTATATATTTTCATTTACAGTCAAGGAAGCAGATGATTAACTGAAGCTGTAAGGAGTCATACAAGGAGAAGGCAGGCTTCAAACTCACAGCTTCAAACTCAAAACCCCACAAAGTGAGCCAGGTGTCACTGCAGCTCAGTTATAATATTGATCTTCTTGGAGGGTAACAAAAAGTATTATTACAAAAATCTTAATGAGACATTTCTTATTCCTAAACATATTTTAAACTACCTTTTCTGTTTCTGACACATTCCTGAACATTATAAAGGTCTAAGCTCAAGTGAATGATTACAAAACTTTGGTCAAAATATCTTTACTTTTTCTCTTATTACATTTAGAATCCCTCAGATCTTTATCTTCCACACTCTCCCCCTTCCTCTGTTTCTCTTTTCCCCAGCACTACCCATCTTCTCAAATTGTGAATGCTATTTTAGAGCCCATCTTTCTAATAAAAGGTTACTTTAAAAGCTGATGTCCTGCATATGTACTCCTGAATTCCTTACACTTTTATTGCTGTAGTCTTTAGTTAGGGATTAGAGTTTGGCTTTTATAACTCCAAGGAGAATGTGAATTTCCTCTTTGGTATGAACATATACCCATACTCCTGTCTGCAAAAGCATTTTCCCAAATCAGAGTTAGAGCCCTGAAGGAGGAAACAGAATCAAGGAAATTCATCTTTACAATGATTCTCCTGAGGACATTTTCAGGTTCTACACCTTCTTCCTGGAAGATAGATTACTTTGGCTTTTAAGATGGGGGAGGTGTCATCTCCCTGGCTAATGGAAAGTTAGTCTACAGGTATTTTCCCCTTTCTGAAACACAGGATAAAAATCAGAAAGCTGGTATACTATTCTTCAATCCAACTTTCCAGTTGTTAAAACATACCAGGTGTGTCTTGCCTGAGGGTTTCAGCACCAGGCAAGTTCACTATGGACTCAGTGGGACCAAGAAATGACAATGGAAAGTTCTTGGGGTTAAAAGGTTTATACCCTGTTTTATTCTCTTGGCAGTAGGTCAAGCACTAGAAACATGTCTGCATCCAGCAGTCTGCAGGTCTGTGATCCACCTCTGTCTCTGCCTCTGCCCAGAGCACTAGGCAGAGTTCTCTGGGCCAATTACATCATCAGGTAGTTTAGAGTCAGACGAGGCTCCTGGGTATAGAAACCACCGTTTTCCCCACAACATGATACCAAATCACAAGGTATTCTCTTTTATCCCTGGTAGTCAAGTGAAGTTTGTCTTGACTTGATGTTTTTAATTGTATAAACAATTAATATGGGATAAGGCAAGTGAGGGATGAATATGGAATGTAGCCTAATGTGACTGACAATGAACTTTCTCTTTGCTTGTCCATTAAAAAATATTTAATAGTTACATATATGCCCCGGTGTGCTTCCTCCCCCCCATTCATATGTTGAAGTTCTAATCCCAAATACCTCAGAATGTGACCTTATTTGCAGATAAGTCTTTACAGAGTCAATCAAGCTATAAGGAGGTCATTAGGGTTGGCCCTAATCTGACTGTTGTAGGGGAAATTTGGACCAACTATTATAAGGAAAATGCCCTGTAAATGTGAAAACAGCCATCTACAAGCCAAGGAGAGAGGCCTAGAGCAGCCCTCAGAAAGAGTAAACCCTGCCAACACCTTGATTTTGGACTTCTGAACTTTAGAGTATCTCCAGAACTGTGAGAAAATAAATTTCTGTAGTTTAAGCCACCCGGGTTGTGGTACTTCCCTATAGCAGCAGTATCTAATATAGCTACCTATACTTATTTTTTTCCTAGAAATTAAATTTTCAGTTTTTGACACACTTCACTGTACATTATTGTTAAAGAAACATATACATCTATATCAGTTTTATATTTGATCTCTTAACTTTGGAAAAAAATCTATGCTGCTCTTTAATAGTCATGTCCTGATTTCATGATAAAAGTCAGGAGAGCCACAGATGTTGAGAATCATTGAAAGCAACATTTTACAAATGAATAAACTGAGACAAGTAGAAGTGAAAGGCTTTTTAAGTCACCCAGTTAGTTACTGGTAAGGATAGTGCAATGGCTCTGTCTCCGTGTTTTTCTACTATGTACACAGCCACTCTAGGGTATTAGCCAAGAATTACATACATATCATTAAAATGATTTTGCCCCAATTTGTCATGTTAAAAATGCTTAAAGTCCTAATCAGACTTTTGTTATCAGACATATTCTTAATCAGACTATTACATTTTCACTGTAACATGGTAGATATATTTTTGTATCTTTTGAGATAAGCACAGCAAGGGAAGGTGCAATATCTCAGTTCATAGAAAGACTAGGATTTTCATTTAAACACTGCATATTTAGGCAGAGGAAAATGTTCAAGGACCACATGTGCATTTGCTGATTCTCAGTAATAGTTGTCACAAGTTGCACTGTACATTCTCAGGCAGTTTTCAAAGAAGAATTTGATCTTAATTCAAATTGTAAATCACAAAGCTGACTGCTTCTTGCTAGGTCTTTTCCCTTTCTTTTCTCTTCCAATCATTTTCTTTGATACTGATTTTGTTTTCTGAGAAGATTCAAGGGAAATGTAGTAGGAACCTTTAATCAGCTGATGTGGAAGAGATCTCTGACTCTTCTACCCAAAAGGGTAGAACTAAGATGAATTGGTTAAAATTACAATTAAATAGATTTCAATTCAAAGCAAAGAAAACCTTTAAACAGAGAGAGCTATGCTGTGGTGGAAATGGCTGTTGCAGAAGATCTTGAGTTAGTGGTGATGTTCTAAAGATTAGACCACTTGGGGGCGTTGTTATAAGGACTATTCAAGCAATGATTAGGTTAGATTATAAGGCCTTTATGGTCTTTTTCATTTTGAAAGTCTGTGGTTCTATGAACTCAGCAGAAATTTTACAGGACTAGCTCTTCCTCAGCTAATCCAAAGCTTATTCCTTCAAACTCTTGCCCCTTTTGTGTTTTGGGTGTAGCTGTGTAATTTATTTAACTCATATACACTTAGATGACACAGGATGAAACATCAGTCACAGCTAATATATGTCAAATTAGAGGCAGGGCTGAGGTGAAGAGTTTTCCTGTTGGTTATTTATCAGTTTGAAATCATGTGTCTGTTACTATATTGTGTGAGAATAACAAACTGTTCTATAATCATTTAAAAAAGGAATTATTTTAACAGACATATTAATCCCTGGGATTTTTTTCTAAGGAGCTAAATATACATAGCACACCATGAGATAATCGAATACTAACCTCCTTCATTTTTTCCAGTTCATTCTGTAAAGCCTGCTTTGCAATCTCAACTTCTATAAGCTGTTGCCTCAGTTTTTCATTTTCATCTTCTGTGGTTGTTCGCTTTTCTTCCACATTCTCCAATTCATGGTGTAGTCTCACAGATACATCTTTTGCAACCTAAAATATTTGTAACAATAAAGTACAATTAAAGACAGTACAATAAGAGGGCTAAATTCATATTTACACTAAAAGAGTTCAGAGCCAATACATTTAAGTGTCTACCATAAGCCAGGCATTGTTCCAGATGCTTTACATTAAGTCATTCACACATAATCATTTAAACCTCATTATAATTCTGTGAGATAGGTACTATTATTATTCCTATTTTATAGATGAAGAAAGTGAGTCTCAGAGATGTGAAGTATATGTTCAACATCACACAGATGACAAGTGACTAGCTAGTCTGGCTCTCAACTTTGTTCTTTTAACCTCTACGCTATACCATGGTAATGAATGTTCATTTGTGTTTTATCATGTGTAGAGAAATTTCACTTATCTCCTCTGTACAAAAAAACTAGATGCTTCCGTTATTACTCATTTTAAAATCTAGGCAACAAAGTTTTCACAACTGGGTTGCAGGGCTTGAATTGTGATCTTATAATTCCAGGTTCTTAGTTTTAGGAAACACTTTAGTCCTTGAGATTAAGGTTTTTTAATTTATCTTTATTACAGTGTACATTTTGGCCTCCCATTTGAGATTGTATCAGAAATTTAAGGGTGTGGAAGAAAAGTAGAGCACTACAGTACAGTGGCTCAGGACACAGGCTATGGTTTTCTGTACTGGGCAGGAAGCCAGCCTGGTTACCTATTAGCTGATTTCTAGGACTGGGGGACTGGGCACTTAACCTGTTAAAGGTTCCCCTTTCAAACCTCTAAAATGATAATAGCCCCTATGTTTTTTTTTTAAGTTAATATATGTACTATGCTTGCCCCAGGGCCTGGTGCACAGTGAGTACTCAACAATTGTTAAGAGAAGGAAAAAATACATAACACAATGACATTCAGAAAATATTTTCTCATAGCTTTCTTTAAAAACAAATACAGGATAATTAGTTGGTTCTTATTTCTTGATGAAGTTAGTATCATTAAAATTATACTTGTTCGGTTGCCTCAGGCCATGAAGATAGCATCTGGATTGCACTGTCAATGAATCTACCTACAGTCAAAGTAAATTGATCACACCCACTAAAAAACACATTTCAAGGTTGAAATATCTCCCATGGGGGAAATTTTGATGAAGCAGCTTTATATTAAGAATGAGGTTCTTTTACTTCACTCCTCCTTTGCTTCCTAAAACGGGCCACAAGTTGGACAGTTTTCCTTTCAGGGGGTTATTAATGTGGCTGCGCACAGAAAGGAAGGAGCCCCGCAAGAAACGGGGTGGGGGGGGACTTACAGAGAGAAATCTTAACTCTTAATGTCTCGCCAGTGTTGCTCCTATTCTGGCTTCAACTCATCTCCGCGCAGCTCGAGTACCTGATTGCACCTGGCTCGCACTGGGAGTCTGGAGGCCACATCAAGGCCGGGCGCTCTACCATGCCCATGTTTCCGCCGGTAAGGAGGTGCCCTCCTCACGATCTCTAAAGAACCACTGCTACCCCCAAGAGAGTCCACAGTGACTCTTCTAGACCTTCCACACACGCGCGCGCGTCTTCAGACGCATCTGTCTGTTCTTCCCGTGCCCGATATTTTGTGGTCAACGCTGTGAAACTGTTTCCCTAAAGCTCTTCGTTTGTCAACACTGAAGGTCTTTCATTACAAAGCACCCTTGACCAGTTTCCCCCGAGCCACCCCCGCCCCGTCCCCGCCAGCCCCAGCGCCGCAGACCTTGAGGTCCTGCTCCAGGCTGCGCAACAGCTCCCCGTCAATTTCTCCTGTCTGCGCGTAGCGGAGCCTTTTGCGCTCGGCTTTGCGGAGGCGGTACTGCAGGATCCGGCAGTTTTTGTTGGCTCTCTCCAACTCATGGCGCATTTCTTGCAGTTGACAGGCATCTTCCTCGAAGAAAGTGTCCCTCATCTCGTCCATCTCCGTCCTCAGCTCATCAATCTCGTTCTGGGGCGGTGAGAGGCCGCGGGTCAAAAGTAGCCTCGCCCCCGCCCCCGACATACACCGTGTACACCCCATTTCAACTCCAAATTCTCAGCCCTGTTGCCCCCTCTCCATGAGGCAAGAGTGACACGGGGATGGGGGAAGGAGATGAAACTAGAAAAACGGGCCCTTTGGGCCTTCTAGTTCTCCCACTCCAGCTCTCTCCATGAAAAAGTGGGACAAACCATGATAATTAGAGAAACAGGCCGCAATCTGAATTTAAATTAAAACGTAACGGTATTAATCCAGAGCTGTTTTAAGTCCGGAAAAGAGCTAGGAACCCCCTCCTCTCATTTCCTGTTCCCCTCCCTCCACCCTTAAAGCTGCTCCCGGACAGATTAGCAGCCTCTCACCCCCGCGGACACGCCCTAATCCCCCGAGGCCCACGCCTCCCCTCCCCCACCCAGCCTTCCCAGCCTCCTCACCTTGAGAGTCTCGTTTTCCTCTCGCAGCTTCTCCATCTCCTCCTGCATTTCCTCCTGCTCCTGGAGCTGCTGCGGGTGCGACTGCGACGAGGGGGGTGCCGCCGCCTGCATGCCCCCGCCGCTCGCGCTGCCCTCTGCGCTCTGCTGGGGGCCCTCCGCTGCCGCCGCCATTGAGGCGGAAGGGACTGCAAGGGGTTCGCAGATGGCAAGGGCGCCAGTGACCGGGGAACTGCGGCTGCTGGGGCCACCACCGTTCTTGGTGTGCATCTGAGCCGCGGCCGCCGCCGCTGCCGCGCGCTCTTTCTTGAGGTGGAACTGGATGAGCTCAGATTGCAGACATCCTTCCTTCCAGTAGCTCCCTCCGCCGCCGCTGCCGCCCCCCACGGCGCCGCTTCCGGAGCTCTTGCTCCCGGGGCCTGGGGTTTTGCCCACCGAGGAGGCGGAGGAGGGAAAGGCCCCCTCCCCGCCGCTGCCGCCCCTCTGCTGAGAGCGCGCGCCTTTCCCTCGCCAGCTCCTGGGCGGCGGCGGCAGCGGAGGGGCGCCCCCTTCCCTCTCCCCGAAGCTGCCGCCGGCTCCTCCTCCTTCCCCAGCTCCTCCTCCTCCCTCCCCGAGCGGAGGGGGTTCCCCGAGTTTACACACGGGCTGTAGCTCCCGGGGCGGCTCCTCGGACTGGACGGGCCTCCTGCCACCCACCGGGGCCAGGGTCGCCACGGAGGCCGATTCAGCACCAGCCGCGAGCTGGACAGCTCCAGGCGCGGCCCCTTTGGGCGCCTGGGGCGCCGCCTTCTCGGCCCCGCCTCCACCTCCCCGGGGGACGGCCGCGGACGCCGCGCGGCTCCCGGCCCTGCTGCTCTGAGGCGGCGGCTGCGGCTGCTGCTGTCGAACAGAATTGACCTTACTGCCGGTGCCCACTGGTGATCGCGCGGCCGCGGCTGCCTGCCGGACCGAACTGTCCCTCAGCCTAGCCGGTGACTGGGCACGCGGCTGCTTTCTGCTGCTGCCCTCCGGGTGCAGGCGAGCTTCCGCGGCAGCGGGGGCTGCAGCCGCTGCGGCTGCGGCAGGGGCAGCGCCCCCCGTCGGTGGCTGACTCATGGCGGTCTAGGAAGAACTACCCGGTGCGATGTAGAACGGTCCACCGCCAAATCATTCTCTGCCCTTCACAGCGCCAGCAATCGTCCTTTCTAATCTGGGACAGAAACAAACGAAAGGAAGCACACAGCATGTCTGCACTGTGACAGAGCATAGGGTGACTTTCCTATGTACGGGAAGCCCTAGAAAATGAAATTTGGGAGTCCCTTAGTAGAAGCCTTGACTTCAAGAGGATGCAGAATTGTCAAGTCTTATTTGGTCCAGGGTGGCGCTATCTTCATCTCATTCCACTTCAGTAAAATAACGAGGATCTTAGGATGTTAGTTTTACCTAACATTCTCTCACAGCAGCAGGTTTTGGCAAAGATGAGAAATGGAGTCAGAAAGCAATCGAAGGGAAGGGAGTTTTTTTGTTTTGTTTTCTCTTTTTCTTTCTTTGTTAACGAGGATACGATCAAGAAGAAGCTTCAGAAGGAAAAGGGGAGGTCCACATACCAGAGCTGTCAATACCCTGCCTTTTCAACGCTGGTTTTCCTCACTATCAAATCTGCATTTTAAAGCCTAGTTTAATAGAGGAAATTTAATTTAATTAATATTCCCAAGCATCAATTACATGAAAAAGGTTATGATATAGGTTCCTAGAGAAAATATCCTATATAAGAAATGGCACTTTTCTCGAACAGCTAACAATGTTCTTGGTTAGAGAAATGCACCCAAATTCCTTTATAATGAACTAAAAGAATATAAATAATGAAAGACTTGAAATTGATTTCAGTTTCAAGAATTAAGAATCACCTATACGACTCAGTGATAAATAACATTAAAGGAATTTTCTTTTTCTCCTTTTTTTTTTTCCAGCTTCAGGAGATAATCTAAAAAATACTTTTGGAAAAGTTTATTCACTGCTCTGCACGATTTATTAAATTACAGGTAATGACTTTTTCTACACTTACCCAAATTTCATAGTTCTTTTGAATTCAGTTTTAAGTGTAATTGCTAGATAAAAAAATATTTTCATTTTTAAGAATATTCTTACATGGTATATCAGAAGAAATTGTACTTTTAAAGTTATCCATCCCTTCTATGGAGTCAAATTCAGAGACAATGACCCTGCACCCAGAACCCTGGTGCACCCTCACTCTGGTGGGAGGATCAACTTCTACTGTGTATTTTTTCCCAAGATAAATCCATTAGTGGCTTTTAAAATTTGAAAAATAGCAACCTATTTCCTCCTGAGTTTTTCTCCCTAGTGATCCAGCTAGCTAATCAGCTAGTTAATTACATGCCTTTTCCTTAGAACTATAGTTTCTCTCTAAATCACTGAAAAAGGACATGACTAGGCAGAAAGTTTGCTTTTTAAAAAACATTCTTCCTATTAGGAGAAAAGATGCTTATCAGTTACTTTATTACTGTATTATTACTGTACAGTATTATTACTGTTACTGTCTATTTTAAGTATTGTAACAGTCAATGTGCAGGCATTCCTCATTTCATAAAGAAGTATTACTGGAAGTCTCCTCCACCTCCCTTTCTCTTTCTGGAATCTCCTTTCAACTCGGTTTAGAAAATAATAGTGAACAAAGAAAACAAGGGGGAAAAGAGCCCATCAACTTATTTTCTACATGTTCTCTGGGAGCGGCATGCTCCTAGTATGTCTGGCCTAGTCATTACATGGGTCACACTAACATGGACCATCCAAATAAGTTATATTGCCAATGCAGCCCTATTTTTGTTTTGAATTAAGCAGAATCATTCTGGAGCTGAAAGCTACACTTACACTCGGCCCCAAGTCCCAGCAGAAAGCTCGGGTTTTGGGAACTGGACACCCACAAGCAAATGTACCTGGTTGCGGTCATGTGGGTCTCACAGAGTGACAATATGCTGTTTCTCTTTAAGGATTCCCCGGTGGAAATAACAACGAAGCAACCCTGGAATGGCCCAAACCAACATTTTTAACCTCAAGTTTCATCTGCCCACTAAACCCAACCCACCTCTCATCCCCATCCCTTTAGAAACCCAGAACTGCTCACATCTCAGCTGAGGCGAAGTTTTGAAGTTGATGCAAATCAACAACTCTTTCCTTCTGCTCTTCCGGCGACCTCAGTGTTTATTATCGTCTTTCAAAGACGAGGAAAGTTTGACTGCGTGGTATATACTGTCTGGTTGAGCACGACCTGGGGCCCGCTCGCCTCAGTTCCACCTCCACTCGATTTCTCCAAACAAAGGCGTTAACGTGCAGACTCTGCGAGCTCCGGAGCAGGTTACTGCTCGGCGGCTAGTTTGGGGCTGCGGCTGGGAACAGGAGACCACGAGAGGTACCAAGCAGTGCCAGACGCTCCCCAGGAAGTGCACTGGTATGCATGAGCTGACCTCACCGGACTGGGCAGAGCAGGGGCGGGACTGCAAGGGAGGACAGGGTAGAAGTAACCAGAGGCTACTTTCAAGAGGAAAATGAAGGCGAAGACTGGGCGGGGGGTGGGGGAAAGATAGGGGTGGCAAGAAAATAAAAAGGTCAGAGCCACACCCGTGATGGAAGACGGTACCGCGCTCAAAGTCCTTGCTTCACTCCCAGATCCTGTACTTGGCCGAAGATTTCAAAACCGCTCGGAATCGGATTCATTGGTTTTTTGCATGGCTGTGTCCTGGGCCGAACAATCTCCGTCGGTTATTTACTTGAGCTCTTTTCTTAGGGAGGCGGATTCGAATAGCCTTCCGGGCGTGACTGACGTCTCCTACTGCATGCAGCTGCGAGGCGCTGGCGGGCGGCTGCTGGGAGTTCTTTGTTCGCTTGCTTTAATTCTCAGTCGAGCTCTGCACGCGGTGCACCCTCCCCACCCCCAGCTCGGGCGGAGTCTTCAGACATCGTTTTCACAAGCAGATAATGGTTGCCAGACCCACCGTCCCACAGACAAAGGGTACTTGTGATGCTACGACTAATTTAGTGCAAACCGAATAAAATTTGTTTTACAGAGATCGTTTACAGACGGGTTTGCCTTCGGTACATTTCCTTTTCTCCTTTTTTAAGTTCTAGCTTTTACTGTGATCACAACTGCTAGAATCCATAATCTTCATAGCACTGCATGTGGGTAACAGAATTGAGCAAAAGTGTATTTATAAGATAGGAGCTTAAAGGGAATTCAGGAGGAAAAGAGGGAATTCAGAATTTATGCCTTTATGATGTACACTAATCCATACTGGTCCATAGTAATAATATTTTTTAAATCCCACTAGAAAATTCTCTTCTCCTTTCTGTTTTTTTTTTTTTTTTTGCAGGGCAGTATGAAGGTCTCCCTCCTCCCTTTAAGAATTCCTTGGTGAACATGAATAGAATAAAAACAAACACTGCTTTAGAAAGGGTATGTTTTATTTTGAATTCTTCTACCTTAACATTACGGCATGGTGGGTAAAAGAAGGTATATTGAAATAATATTTTTTATGCTAGCATGAATTTTCGTCTAAGATTTATTTTTCAAGAGTAATTTTTTGCATTAAAATCGAAATAAAAACAATTTAGTAGTAGTTTGCAAACAAGCAAAATGATTACAGCAAAGTAAAAGGATGTTCAAGCCCTGATGATTAGTACCTCCAGCCATATATAAAACAAATACAGTATCAGGGCAAAAAAAAAGACCAACAAAAAACATTTATGCATTCACATGCTCCACAACACATAGTAAGTGCCTAGTTTATGCCTGGTACTGTCCAAGGTGCTGGGTATGCAAAGATAAATCTAGAAATGGGTCTTGTCTGGAGAGGCTCCAGCATATTGATGAGAACTGGGATAATTTCCATATAATCCTTTGAATCTTTTTGGAAGGTGGAAATGTGGTATCTGTGACATCAATAATGAATTATCTCAGACCTTGACCAGCACACCAAAAATAAACGGGAAAAAAAAACAAAGTAAAATATAACACAGTTTATTGGGAATTTATATTAGGCAACTGCTCATTGTGTATACAAACTTGAGTTGTGATTTTCTTAAGAAATGCCAAGACCCACAGGTCACATTCAAACAAAATGGATAAAAATATTTTCTCAGATTAATCTTTACAAAGAAAATAATGATACTATAAACCATAGTCTATGGACACAAAATACACGTGGTCCTGCTTCTCTAAAAATTTGTGCTCTGTTCAGCCATTTGTATTTCAATTTTTTCCTAAGGTACTATTACTTATTTCAATGCAATTAGTAGCTTTAAAAATGTCTAACAAATCAATAAATGATTATCATCAGGCTTAAACCAAGCAGTTGATACGCTCGTGTGACATTTTATGATTTAGTATCATGCAACTTCAAGACTGAAAACTAATAACAAAGTATAAGTATAAATGATATTTCAGATGCTTCTTTCCTCATGTAAATGTGCCATAAGAACTTTTGAACTGGAAATTTATCAGGTTTATTCTTTTATTTCCTAGCTAAAATCATACTTCTCTGATTAAGCAAATGCAAAGATTATCATTCAAGATTTTGTCAGAATTTAGAAAGGCTTCGTTATTATTTTTACTATGTTTCAGAAGTAGACAAGCCACTTGACCTTTTAATGCCTATAATAGTAAATCATCCACTCTATAGCACAGTAAGATGTACATCTTCTATCAAGGGAAGAAGGCTAAAGTCTCAATTTGAAAGCCATTAAGAAATACATAGCTTAAAATATCTAGCCTTTAATTCTCATTATTTTGTCTATATAATGCTATTTTTATCTATATAGCTTTTGTTTGCAGGGCCTTTCACTTTGCTCAAAATACTATGAAGTAGATATTATCTTCTCCACTTAAAACGTGGAATAACTGAGTTTCAGAGATGCTAAGCATTACTAAAGTTCAATTTCATAATCAGGACTTGAACTTGGATCTTCTCTTCCATGAAGTCTGCCTTTAATATTCTTCCCAAGCACCTCTTTTTCATACCATGACTTAAAAAGTTGTATCTCCAAGCCTCATTTTGTATCTGTATCCTAGTCTGATCTTTTCACATACGCACAGCCTACCTACATTTGGAGATAACACTATCACTTCAAACTCCATATGATTTTTTTCTCTCTCTGATAGCAATTTCTATTCTGTTTTTCTTTTAGTGAAGAAAAAAGTATATATCTAGTTTTCTTATAGTGAAATCATAACTTGATATACTTTTTCACTGAACACTGGTTTCTTCATTGCTTAATCTTTTTCATTTACTTCTATATCCATTTTTTCCCCAGATATTCCTTTGGCTGACCTTTTCATTTCCTATACAGTCACTACCAATATCTGAACTCTCATTATTCCATGGTTAAACTACTGCAAATTCTTCCTATATTAGATAAGTTTCTTATGCCAAATCCATTGCTGCCAGTTTACACCCTTATTTAACAAAATTTTCCTGACATCTCTCTGTGGCCCCATCCTATGCTAAAATGTACCCCCTAATACTTCACCTCACATACTGCCTATCCTACTTAAACTTACTGTCTCTTTTTCCCAGAATCATGTGGAACTCATTCTGTTTGTAGGCTTTTCCTCTTGCCATTTTCCGTACTTGGCATTCCTGTCCTAAAGTTGCCCATGTTTTAGTGTTCAGCTTAAGTTTCAAATCCTTCTGTCATGTGAACTTAGGAAAGTTAATCTTTCAGAGACTCAGTTTTTTCCTACTCATTCGTTTATCTATGCATTTAACATACATTGTTGAATTTATGTTTTTAATAGTACCTAACTTGTGTAATTACCACTATAAAATGATGAAGATAATTCTTGTGACAGTGCATGGGACATAAACTAATTATAACAAATGATAAGTGATGATTACTATATGTCTGGAACTGTCAATAAATGTTACTTTGTGTCTGTAAACTGTCAATAAATTGTCACTATTATTTTAGGAATATTATTACACTAGTTTACACTAAATTTCATCACTTCTGAATTTCTATAGAATGAATAAGTAATGTCACATTATTAGAAACACTTGGTGAGTCTTGGATTATTTTATAATTGTCCACTCAAAAGGTAAATATCTTCAAATAATGTTCTTGTTTCCCTTATTATCTCCATCAAGAGAGTTGGTCAGTGTAGGGTTTGGATTTATTGGCACACTTTTAGAGACAGAGAAAAGCTAATGTTTTCAGATCCATCCTCTGCTTTTGGAGAATAATTTAGCTTGAGTATGTGCCATTGTCTTGACCTTTGCTGACACATGTATGCAGTCATAAACCACATTTGTTCTCTGAATTACATTTTAGATAGTAATTTAAAATCATTGACTTCTAGAGTTATAAACACCATGATTCATCTTTTTATTTCTCAGCTGTCTGCCCAAACAATGTTATACACTAGGGTTAGCCTAATTTCAGGCATCTTAGTAAAGTCTGTTATACCATCTTTCAGAGTAGATGTATACATGTTATAACTTAACATTGTAACCAAAAACTAATGGTTTAATTAACACGGGATTAAGGTTGCTTTGTGAATGGCAAAAATTGCTACTCTACTATTGATGCTTTAGTTGCTCCTCCTTTTGCTGTTGTGGAGGTTTGCATTTCGGTATTGCATAGTCAAAATTCTGTTGCATCACTTCCATAAATGCTCATGAATACTCACCTAGCCACTTGTTATAGCCAAAATATTGTCAGATGTGTGATTTCAACCTTGCTCCATTTTCAGCTTTACATCTTAATCTTAGTGCAGATTTTTAAACAAGTCTTGTAGTTATTATGCAAATGCCATACACATTTAAGATTACCATTAAATTTCCCCTAATATCACTAATTTAATAACTCAGAACTGTAATGTTTTTATAGCAGTGCTTTAATGATCCTTTATCTCACTTACTCTAAGTCCTCCTTTTTTCAATAATAAAACCACCGTAATATGAGTGTAGTAGGCTAATCCTCCTTATGCCAGTCCAACCAGGATGGCTTCCTAAGTTACTCTGTACTCCACTAGGAAATTTTCGTATAAGATTTTCATTTCTACTTTCTGCCTTCCCCCATCATGTCTGAAAAAAATGTCTAAGGATCCTATGCATAGGCATATAAAGGAAAGATCTTCATGTAATTGGATCTGGTAGTTCCATATATTATTACATACTGAATATTTGTAAAGTATACTGTAAAGGTAATACTTTAATATTCCCTTGATCCAGTTATAGCAAAAATAAGCAAAATGTCACTGTATTTTATATTCTAGTATTTTGTTTTTCCTATTCTTACATTTCAGTGAGGTTTTAATTTGATGTCTAGTCACTAAGGTTTTGGATATTATTATATGCTATGCAAAAATCAGGGTACTCTTTTATCTGGCAGGATGCTAGATTACTTTGAGTTGATTTATTCTTCACTGAAGGATATTTATTATATGTATGTGTTCATTCAGGCACACTCAATTTAATTTCAATTAAAGTAGGTTTATTTACGATGAAATTATTTATGAGATGTGGATCAGATGTAGGAGAAACCACGATGGATACCTCAATAACCTGCGGTTAAATAGCAGGGAAAAGCAGACTTGGTAAGTAATACCACTTTGCAAAACAAACAAACAAAAAATAAATAAACAAACCCCTACATTATTGGGAATTGTGTTAAAGAGATGAGGGAACAGAATGGTTAACTGGAACCCAGAAGAGATCTGTGTAGAACATGCCACCTTGAAAGCAGTGACTTTCTGTTGACTTTCTGTTGGGGGACATAGTCAACTCAGGGTGATCTCACTCTCTTCCCTGCCTCTGGTTTACTGCTGGGGCTCCCCATTGGTTGATCCTGTTAAATCCAGAGGGCTATTGAGTTATTTGATGCCATTCACTGAGGCTAGCCTCCTG